GCTGCAGCTACGTGGCTGCCATGCACCGCGCAGTGTTCGGCGACAAGCCCGCCGAGGGTCCGGAAGGTGCTCAGGCGGAGCCTGGAGCCGGAGAACTAGGGCGCCCTGAGTCCAGCGCGCCTCCAGCTGCCCCGAAATAAAGGCCTGGTCCCATGGTCTCCCTCTCTCTCCTTTGCGAGCCCAGGGAGGTGGGGTTCTGGGGAGCGGAGGGGGACTGCACTGCGCCGGCTGGTCCCGCAGGCGGGCGCGGGCGTGTTGTGAGCCCGGGTTACCCCGACCTGGAAACCTCCCAGAACGAGGAAAGCGCTGGCCAGGGTCGCGCCTCAGTGGTAGGAGTTAGGCAGCTTGGATGGGGAGAAAGCCGGGCTGTGACTTGGCCCCCACTAGTCATGGGACGTCAGGCAAGTTTTTTACCGTCTCTGAGTCTGTTTTCTTATCTGTAAAATGGGTATGATTCCTATGTCATGGGTCATAGTAAGAATTAATTGAGATAATGCCTGAAAGTGCTGGTAGAGAGGTCTTCATAGCAGGTCTGGTACTTGTATTCCCATGCGGAAACCAGATGTGTAGAGAAACAGGCCAAATGAATTAAAAGGAGGCAGCCCCACTCACCCTCCCGGTGCCCCCTGCCCTCAACGAAACTCAGCAGGAGCGGAGGCTCCAGACCTGGCTGTTCTGGCCAGTGGTCTGTCTCCTTCCTGAAGCCGGCGGCAGAAGCTAGGGCGGCAGGAGCCACTGAAAGGGCCTGCAGGGCTGGGGAGCTGATCTCCTTCTAACTTCCTCCAGGTTGGGTGCTGGAGGAGGGTGAACAGACAGAAACTAGGTGAGGAGGTTGCAGGCAGAGGAAAGGGGCAGGGTGCCCTGGAGGGGATGGGAGTGGGGGACAGACCAGGAAGGGGCTTGGCTGCAGAGCCTGGAAGAGGGAATAGGGGGGACCCGGCCACCTACCAGGGTTCTGGGAGCTTTATAGGGGACTTTGGGGGAAGGAGGAGCTGCATCCTGACCTGCCCCTACCTCCAGGTAATGATCTGCTCTGGGCCTCTGGACTGCCTGCTGCTTCTGCTCCTGGGAGAAGGTTCCAGAAGGGGCCTCAGCCACCCCGTCCGTACCCCTCTCCCTACCCTGCTGGCCCAAATGGGTCTGCTGTCCCGGCAGCATCCAGGAAGGCCACAGGAAAGGGTCAGGGCCAACGTGGCACGCAGCTCTGAGGCGTGGGGCCTGTTCTCTTTGCACGTGTGTGTGAGTGTGTGTGTATGTGCAGGTGCTCACAAGGTCACCGTGCGGGGACGGGATGATGAGGCAGGCCCAAGGGGACCACTCTCCCCCCTATATCCATACGTTTAATAACCCTAAGAAGTCCTGTAACTGAGCCCCTTGTAATGCTCATAGTATTTTTGGTGGCTAGAATTGAATAATTTAATTCTTAATTAGGTCTTTGTTCAAATGTTAACCATTCTTCTTGGTCAACCCCTTTAGTTCTCAGGAATGTAGTAATAAGTTGCTGATGTGGTATCTCTTTGCCATGCAGGAGGAGATCACTTCAGAGGCAGGAAGATAATTTATGAGTTTGTTTTGCAGAAGGAAAGAATATCTTCAAGGTAGCTATAACCAGCTGCTGGTACCCAGGAGTCTGATACAGGAAAAAGTTATCTGTGACTAAAGAAACACAGACTTCTCTCAGTTCCCTGAAACTCCCCCTCCGTTACTCCCTAGCCACATAAAAACTCCCTACTTTTTTGCTTTTGGGGAGAGATGGATTTGAGAGATCTTGTTCTCCCATCCTCTCAATTTTGTCAAATCAAATAAACCTTCCTCTGTCTCCAAGCACCGAAGTCTCAATGTTTTGGCCTACTAGTGCATGGACTAAGGTAATTTCCAAATATGCCTTAAAGATTGAGGGTTACATGGCCCTCGTTGGTTTGGCTCGGTGGATAGAGTGTCGGCCTGTGGACTGTAGAGTCCCGGGTTCGATTCCAGTCAAGGGCACATGCCTGGGTTACAGGCTCCATACCCAGTAGGGAGTGTGCATGAGGCAACCGATCAATGATTCTCATCATTGATGTTTCTATCTCTCCCTTCCTTTCTGAAATCAATAAAAATATATATATTTTAAAAAAGATTGAAGGCACATGAACCTGAATTTTGGGGAGGTGATTCAGTAACAGTCCCATGACTTCAAATACCATTTACACGCTGATAATCCCCCTAAACAAAAAACTCCACATATCTCCAACTCCATTGTCCCCCCAAAACTCCCGGCTTATGTATCTCCAACTGTCTGCTCAACATCTTGGTGCCTAATAAACTTAATGTGTTGCAAAGCCCCATTTCTGATTTCCAGCCCTCCCAGTCTCCCTTACTTCCGTATATGCCCGTTCCATGCTTCCCGTTGCTCAATCCAAAAACCTTAGATACTCCTTGACTCCAGTCTCTCTCTCTCTCTCTCCCTCTCTCTCTCATCCCTCAACCAATCCAGAAAACACTGACAGCTCTACCTTCACTCTTTAAGGCATATTTGGAAATTACCTTAGTCCATGTACTGTCATCCCTCTTGGATTTTGCAATCGCTTCCTAACTGGTTTCCCCGATCCCACCCTTGCCTGCCAACAGCAACGTTTCCCCATTGCAGCCAGACTTTTAAAAAGAAAGTCTAATCATTTCATGTCTCCACTCAAAACACCATCTGTGGCTTCCTTTCCCAGTGAAACCTCAGATCTTCCCCCCAAGGCCTCCCTCCTTTTTTACTTTCTTACTACTCTCCCTCATCTGAACTAGCTCAACTGCCTTCTGCC